CTCACTTTTTCTCCACAATAGTGCTGCTTTTTCTGTACAATGTTGTGATAGTGTCCACTTTTCATTCACTTTTCAAATTAAAAAAACATTAATGAGAAGTGTTATAATTTAATTTTTCTGTGAAGTAACTACAAATATTCTCCAATTTTAAAGSTGGTTGTATTTGTAGTTCAAGCTCAAGACAAATTTCAGAGATTAATTTTGTTTAAGAAGTCCATCATTGACACTAATTCAGCTGTGGTTCAGGASTATGCTACCATCTTCTCTGAAGTGTTATGTTCTGTGTTGAACTGGATATTCAGTGCCTTGAAATAGAAACTCAATTTTATGTGTAAGTGATGGCTGAGGCTCTTTAAATAAAGAAAYATATTAATAAATTTCTGAGCTGTGYTGCCAATGAGAATATTGTTACCAACTTTACCATAGGCAGGATTTTCAAATCTCAGAGAAAACTCTCAGAAAAACTTARTACATAAAAATAAACATCAAAAAGCTACTTCAGTTAATCTGTATGAGACTTCTTAATAGCAGTAGAGGTGCAGGTAAGAATTTCCTTTTGACTTTCAAAATATTGTCTGCTTCCTTACAAATTGTAATTATATTTCCTCTTCTAAGATATGATGAAASGAAAAAATCCATGGATCATGGGTATCCCAGGAAAATTGCTTCTGACTTYGGAAGAATTGGCAAACTTGATGCTGCTTTCCAGAAAGACGGTGAGTAAAACATACCTTTAATCTGTGTTTAAGTGAATGTTTGGGCTTCTATAGATAAAATATTTTTTTCAAAATGCTTTTATTAACCTTAATGAAAAGGAAATGAAAATTATGAGGTATGCATAGATGGTAATGCAATTTTTTTTTTTCAAAAACACTGAAAAAGTCATCTATGAAATATAATGGGATTAAATTTTACTTCTAGGCTATGTGTATCTCTTCCATGGAACAACTCAGTACCAGTTTGATCCTCGTRCCAAGCGGATTGTTCAACAAATGAAGAGCAACAGCTGGTTTAATTGTTAATTGCAATGTTTCTCCATATGCAACTGTATGTTTTTATGTGCTGCATTTTTCAGCATTTCATGATTCTCAGGTCAGAATGGATTTGTGTTCAAATTTTATGGGAGTATAGTCTYAATAACTATTTATTTAATACCTAATAAATTTATATAATTTATCACAACTTGCCCTCTTGCTGTCAAGTTCCCTAATAAATTATGTTTCTCATGCAATTGTGTTCTTCATTTCTTACTTRCCCTGATGCTCAAGAGCCAAGTCTGCCTTTCAAACACTAAAAAATTTGTTCTGGCAGGACATGTCAGTTCTTTTTTCCCAAAGACAGACAAAGGAGCACACAGATGTCTCTGAACTCCTCCACCCTTGGTGAAAGTCTGGGGGGTGATTAGGCCAGTTGGGGCTCACTATCATCAGTGTACAGATCTCCTTCCACTTTGTGTTCCTCTTTCCCCAGGTTCCACTCTTGGCCTCCCCTCCAGGGTGTACATCTTTACAGGCAAGGCTGGGGGATGTCCTCGTGTTTTTGGGTTTAGGAACTGGTTTCRAGCCTGGAAACGTAGATTAGAAGGGACCCCTGAGATGATAAACTTTGATCTCACATCATAAACAAACTTCTTTAATCAAGGCTCTTTCAGATCCTTACTACTCCTGTGGGTACTAAATTCTTCCTGATTACAGTGGGTTAAACAATCAAGAAGTTTGCTTAAAAAATGAACGTTCTTGTCCAAAAATACTTCTATTACAAAAAATTATGAAAAAGACAGATTGACTTCCAGCTTAACCACATTTTTTACAAATGCCCTCAATTAAAATGGTATTTGCAGGATTATTCACTTTCTCTTTAGTCTTKGTAGCTCAGCAGATATTAGAAGCCACATGAACAGAACAAAATGTATAAGTTTTACAATATYTGTATTATTCAACATGCTTCAGAGGAAGGTTTGAGGTTACTGTAATAAAAGTTACTACATTTTGATAAAATATAATCTGTAGTTTCATAAAAGCATGTCTGTTTCATTTTTTGGTTACTTACCCTGGCTGAATTAGAAGGCTATTAAATTTTGTCCTTCATAAATATAGAATATACTTGGCAGTTGTTTATTAAATACAAGCATGCAGATTAGTCCAAATACTCCTCAAAGTATTTGAAGAGAAATTGTATAATTGAAAGTTGACTTGATCGTATACTTTATAAAACCAAAGAAAATACTGTAAAATAAAAAAAAAATAATCGCAGCAAATCAAATTTTTTAATTAAAAAGTTAATTTATGTGAATTCTCAAAAGATGCTCTAGGTACTAGTTCTTTAATATCAAACCTCAGTGGGAATGCTATTGAATCACATTTTCTTATGTAAACCATTGCTATTGAATGACAATTAAACCAAAAATTGCTCTAGAAGTACATAAATCTAAATTGATTGTGTTGGGGCTTTTTTAGCAGAGATGGTTTACAAATAAAGCACAAGATTTGCAAGCAAAGATAATATTTCTTACTAGAGCAATTTCTATTAAAAATAAAAACTGGGGGAATATGTTACCTGCAGATATAAAGCAGAAGCACAGAATCTCAAGGCAATGCCAAAAGAGCTCCTCAGATTTAGAGCAGGATTCTAGTGTCTCTCTAGAAAAAAAAATGTAGTGGGTGTTCATGGGGCAGAGAGACTATTAAATGGGAGATGAGGAGTAAGGAGGTGGTTATGYTTTAGAGGAAAGAGAGAGAAACCATGGAAGATTAAGAGGTTAAAAACAGGATGAAGTTTCTCATGCCATATTTTTAGCCTATGCCTTTTGGTGTCCTGTGAACTTGCAATTCTTGGCTGCCAGACACAGTTTTGAAATTCACTTTGTGGATTTCCCACAAAGAGGAAGGCGAGAGCTCAGAATGAAGTGATTTCTTTGTGAGAAAACTGTCCCATGCTTATGTGAGAGAGCATTTCCTCTGCCTGTGTGAGCGTGGCGATTGCTCCATCGCAGCCACACCATGAAGGGGAGGGCACATCTGGTGCTAACAGCTACTACACTGTCCCTAAGGACCTGCTAGAGTTACTTCTAGAAAATTGTCAAGGATCAAAACAGTATCTGAACCATCTGCCTTTTGTCCCATGTTTTTCACTCAAGCWGAGTAACAATTCAATTTTGTTGGCTCAATGGAAGGATTGAGCCTGAAAAGCGGTGGCTCAACTCATCCACATGAACAGCTCTCTAGTGCCTCTAAGGTGCCTGAAGGTTTCCAGTTGGCTTCCAACCACCAGTCTAAAAGCCACATGTCCCCTCTAGGTTCTGGATCACAGCCATCAGAGTGGTTTTATTTTTAGAGAACTGTCTTATGTTTTAAAATGGATATATTTATTTGTCTCAAAGGTTTTAAAGCTAGAAGGAATGACCATGGTGATACAGTTTCATTATATACATGTGTACATCACAAAGACAAACCCCTGTTCAGTGGCTTTTGCACCAAATCTATTTTCCAGTATCACTAGAATACATTTTTGGAAAACATGTTTTGGCTGATATGAATTCAATTTTAGAGAAACATCAAGAACTATGGGCAGATTTGATGTGAACTGGGAGAAGTGGTTACCTTTTTTCTCACTGTGGCTGGTTATCAATCCCCACAGCTGTCTGCCATGTAGCAGTAAAGGATAGAGACAAATGAGAGCAGCTAGGTTAAGATTAGCTGCATCAAATTCATGCATTTGTTAGTTAAGCCTTCTTCTACAGAAACAGAGAAATACATATCTCTGGAGAGTGATTCAACCAACTATCTTAGATAGGATTGTCTGACCTCTACAAATGTCTTYATCTAGAGAAGTTTAAACCACTAATTTAGACTGCATTTCTAGTTTCAGCTAACAATAATATTTGCTCAGAAGACATTTGAGTGACAGATGAGGGAGATCTGTATCAGACAAAGCACTACCATGGTTTTGCAACCTGATCACCTACACAACATAGCAGCCAGTTCCCACTACCCACGGGAGAGCTGAAAAAATATTTTCACAAGTGATGTTACACAAACATGTCTATARCTGGCCTTGAGGCCTGGGAAAAGAAGAAGCTGTATAAGCAGCTTCTGGTTATGGTTTCCTAATGCTTATTTTTGACCTCTATTAGAGTTGGTGGATGGTGAACTACCTCATGACTTCTTGTCTCCTCTTAGAAGACAGCAGTGATGTGACCTCTGTTTTAACCCAGGAAGTTCACTGCCTATCCTCATCACATCAGCAGTACCAGGTGATGCTGCACAAAACATTCCAGGAAACAGAAATAATGCTGCAACACACTCATGATCTTAATGCAATACCACCAGAGACTCAACATTCCTAATTGTTCACAACATGGGTGTCTGTTAGTTAGCTCTCTAAGCTTGTTTCTATCAACAGAAATCTGATCATAATGGTCAAATACATACAGAACTGAATGGGACCCATATAATGTAATGGTAATAAACAATGAAGAGTTTGATTAATTTTTTCTGTAGTAGCTGAAAAATGGCATTAATAACAATAAAAATAAGGGTATTGGCACGAAGAAAACCATCATTAAAGCCTCCAGATGGAGAAAAGTTGGCTGCAAGTGGCAGCAAAAAAGCCAAAAACATGGAAGCAACGATTTCCTGAAGAAGCCACAGTCCAACATGAAGTCATTTCTTTCAGCAGTTTTGTGAAAGTTGGGTACATGCTGCCAGAGCTCTTCTGAGGTGCCAAACACCTTCAGATCCCTTTGTTGCCGGTGGAAGAGGAAGGTGCTTGGCTAAAAMAGGGTGAAATCCCATAATTTGTCACAGCCTGTGTGACTCTTGAAACTTCCCTTTTTCTGAATTACTTAAGACAGGAAATAATCATATCCCCTGTGGCTAATGTGGTCAAACTGGAAAAAAAAAAAAAACCTTGTGTGATGAAATGGCAGATAGAAGATAGAGAGATGATAGATGATAGATGATAGATAGATAGATATAGAATTCAGATGGAAATATAAGGTAATTCACATTCTTTAGGCTCAATTTACAATGCAAAATCATTCTCATTTATGAATATCTTGGATTGTACCAGAATAATGTAAAAGAAACGTTCTTTTTCAAGGAGTTGCCGGGAACAGGTGGAGAGGGAATTGGCATTTTCATCCATTTTCCAAAATATTCAGTCTCACTTTATGAATAAATTTGAAAAGAAAACGTTCTGCTTACAGGAATTTCTCAAAAATTTTGTTTCATTTTTTATGGGATTCATATCTCGTGCACAATTACCATTTCCTAGGCTGAGAATGGTTATGAGTACCTCCACCTTTCGTGGTTCTATTTCACACAGCTGATTTGGGACAACTTGCAAAGTTTCGTGTTTGTCCACCATTTAACCTGGCATAGAATTGCTCAGGTTTCCTAAAATTCAGAGTAAAATAACTAAAATTGAGTGCCAGTTCTGAAATGCTAACCAAGAAGCTTAGACATATTTGAATCCTGACTTCAGATGACTGTGGAATGGATGGGTTCAATTAAGTTTTATTGTGTCGGCCTGCACAGTGTTACAGCTTGAGCAGAGATAATCAGAGCAGGATGAGCTCTGAGTCAGCCTACAGCTGACTCTACAAAGCACCCCATAACCATACGAACTGGGACACGAGAAAGGAGGCACATGGAGCAGAAAGCAGAATGCTGTCCCACCAGGACATGGATGAGAGCAAAAATTTCTCTTTCCCTTTGGCTTTTAACATGCGCAGCTGTTTCTGACGCTCTTCCCACCTACCCAGAGAAAGCCAGCGAAGAAGATGCAAAGCTTGTACAGGTAACTGCATTGTCCACACCTGAGATCTGTTGTCTCTATTTTTAGACCTAATCTGTGTGTTCCAGCTGCAAAGCAGCTTGCTGCCTTTCTGAGACAATGCTATTGCAWTGAACTCTGCTGCCCGAACTTTACTTAAGTAGGATAAATCTGTACGAAATGGAAATGTCAAGTAAATAAGAGTCAGGACAATGTTGTCTTTTTCTGTTTAGCTATGATCCTCTGGAAAACATCTGTTGTGCTCCAAAATCACAGACAGAAGGATTTGCCAGAAACTTACACAAACATCAGTCCTAAGGTATTTGTTTAAGAAACAGATCAAAAYGTGAAATGTGTTTGCTTTTTTTCCCTACTAGAACTATTTGAATAAATTCTATGCCATTGAGCCAGATCCAAATCAACGAGGAATGGAAATAAATGGAAAATGGAAAATAAATGCTGAATCTACAGACGAAAAGCTTCAGAAAATGCAACAATTTTTTGGTTTGAAAGTGACTGGAAAACYAGATAATGAGACATTGGAAATGATGAAGAAACCCAGGTGTGGAGTTCCTGATGTGGGTCTCTATGGCTTCACCCTGCCCGGATGGAAAAAAACCAAATTGACATACAGGTACTATTTCAGTAATTACTTTCTGAGTTTAAATTTTAGGTTTGTGGGTATCCATATTTGTTGTATTTATATGTAACTTCTATGGCAATTGTTTCCTGTTAGGAATATAAAAATGTTTCTGTCTCCATAGTGTTAGCTATGCCTGCTCCTGAGAGGAATTTCAGGGAATKGAGCTGGGTATTTTACATTTACTGRTTCAACCACAGTATTTTGCCTGTCATGTATCACTCCTGACAAATATTCTGTAAGCCAAACAGAARCATCAATTGTACCCTCTAAAAGCCTCATTGTCTCTGAGACTGGCTGAGACAGCAGTTTAGTAGTCWCAGAAACCTGAGGAGATAACTTTCCTCATGCTCAAATGACACCCTCCTGATTAAGGGCCATTCTGAGAAAAAACTGACAACATGTACACAACTAGTGTTATGGAAAAGCCGTATTGGACAGTTATCACCTACCCCAAACTCACTCAGTTATCTCATATCAAACTCACTCAGCCCAAGATTCCCCGATGAATCTTGGGAACTATTTGTTTACAGGTTAAATTGCTTCTAACACTTTTCTGTTCATCATCTTAACCACATTAAGGATTTTTTTTTTTCTCCAAAGAGTAAGTAGTATACTTGAATTCTCATAACTGTAGGATTGTGAACTACACACCAGATATGAGCAAAGAGGATGTGGATAAAGCAATCGAGAAGGCGTTTAAAGTGTGGAGTGCTGTCACCCCACTGGTTTTCACTCGCATACGTAAGGGAAYAGCGGATATAATGATTGCTTTTGGGACCACAGGTAATGTGATGATTGCATCCAAAGGTAAAATTAATTCATAGATTTTTCAATGGTCATAACATAAGCTCAGTGTTGTTTCAACTTCAAATTATTTAGCTCATGGACATTGCCCTCGCTATTTTGATGGCCCCCTTGGAGTCCTTGCTCATGCCTTTCCACCTGGCAATGGGTTGGGTGGSGACGTACACTTTGATGAGGATGAAGACTGGACCACAGGCTCAGCTGGTAGGTTCAAAATGTGTCTGTCCCTCATCCTTCTTTGGACACTCAATGTTCTGCTGTCTGCTGCCTATAGTTAAACCTATCTTAGAATTTTATGAAATCACCTAAAACCTGTGGCTCCCAGATGTCTTTTGATGCTATAAGTACACTGGTGGCTGCATTGACTTCCCTTAAAATCAGAAAGGAATCTATTCATCTGCATAACACTTTAGAAATCTGCTTCATTGACTTTTAGGTGGTGGGGGTGTCCCCTGACATGTGATTAAATGTAATGTTTTCCCCACACCAGGAMTGAATTGGTCTGCCCCAGTTTTGCTGCTGCTCCTTAGCAGCACAGCTCCTCAGGCAGACATTGCAGAACTTGGAATGTTTGGAGGACTCATGAGAGGGGAGGACTGACTGGAAATATGCGTGGAAAAAATGAGGCTTTATTTTGTTTGGGTTTTTGAGAAATGAATGTCTTGGCTTCAGCCAGCCTTTCTTGGGCAATCGATGACCAGTCCTCTCCTCTGCCACACACTTGTGATCTTCACTAAATCTGTTGACATTTCTGGCTCTTGGTGTGCAGGGCAGATGATCATTCTTCCCTAATTCAGAAAGGCATGTTACTTGGAGGGATGTATGTTGAAGGAAATTCCATTTTCATTTATTTATTGTGTTAACATATTTCACTGGGAATAAGCACACATAAGCATAATACTTTAAAAATAAATTTTGTTTGACAAATCTATAAAGAAACCATATGCTTTAAAGTCCCAATAGTGGAGAGGTAAAGCATTCTGCGAACATTTTCTTTTTCCTTGTCTATTTGTGATCTCACCTTTCTTTCTCAGTTTTGTAGGAGGGAGAGTGACACACAGAGTGTCACCTTGATAGCTGCAGTGAGCACAGAGTGTGTCGTCCTGCCCTACCCTGCAGAGCTGTTAGTTTGGTCTGAGTCACTATCTAATCTGTTCTACCTCAGCCAGGAAWCCCTGCCAGGTCATTCCAAGGAGCTGCACCCACACTCACCCCTAGATATCTGCTCATGCCACACAAACACTGTCAGCAGCCAGCAGAAAACAGGAGTCAAAACTCTCACCCTTCTAGTGGCAAGAAGACCACAACCATGTCCTGTACAAAAACATGTTCACATGCATGCATTTCCTAGTAAATGTCAATATATTGTGTGAGAACTGTCACTGGGGCAAAATCCCTGCTGTGATTGTATCAGCCATTTGCTGAGTGAAATCAGGCTAATCTCTCTGTCCATTTCYTAAGGGTTCAACTTGTTCCTTGTTGCTGCTCATGAGTTTGGYCATGCCCTGGGTCTCTCCCACTCTAATGATCAGAGGGCTCTCATGTTCCCCAGTTAYGCCTACGTCAGCCTCAGTGAATTTCCCCTCTCTCCAGATGATATAAGTGGCATTCAGTCCATTTATGGTGAGTAAAATCCACAGCTTTAAAAAAAAAKGTAAGCAGGGGAGAAATAATCTCTTTCACAAAGTTTCGCCACAAAAATAATCATATTCTCTTAATATAAAAAAAAAGTAAGGCATGAAAACCTTAATATTTCTACAGTGTGGTGTATTCTTTCCAAAATGTCTCCCTCAGGATCCCCACCAAATGTCCCAGATAAAAGGCCAACCACTCCTACCTCACCTAAAACCTGTGGCTCCCAGATGTCTTTTGATGCCATAACTACACTCCGACGAGAAGTCATTTTTCTAAAGGGCAGGTAAATTCTGCTATGTCATTTGTCAGTATTTTTTTTTGCTTTATACAAAGACTGAATATTTTTGTGATTCATAGAGTCAGTGTTCATTATTTCCTGAGAACCACCTAAAGGTTTGRTTTGCAAGGTACCTTGAAGTTCATCTAGATTCAACTAGGGACACTTCCCACTAGACCAGATTGTCAGAGCCCCATCCAGCCTGGCCTTGRACGCCTAACTAAGTTTTTAATTAATTTAATTAATTTAAGTCATTAACTAACTAAGAAATAAGTATGTTTGACAATATAGTTGAGCCAATCTCTCCTCCAGACACCTTTTCAAGCCCAAAATCATCTGGGGAATTCACCAGGTGAAGTGGTTAAAGTAAGTCCCATCTGGACTCCTATAACACATTGCTATATGGTACAGCAATAACCTGAATTTTTCAGCTGCTTATGACTGATSCCATTTATCAATCAGTACCAATGAGAAGGGTAATGCCAGAAAGCCAGAATTTAAAAAAAAATCACTTCCTAGTACAGGGAGTTATTTCCTTTCTGACACATCAAGCCAGGTAACTCCACTGACAAGAAAGAGCTTGTAAGTCACAATGTTGCTCACATTCTTTTGCACATATAGAAGTTTCTGTGGTTCATTATGTACTACAAAACCTGTTTCATATTTAAATCAGGAACTTGTGGAGGGTCTATCCTGATAACTCAGAATCTGAACGTGAATTGATTTCTGCCTTCTGGCCAAATCTCCCTCCTGGGATTGAAGCTGCATATGAGAACACAAAAGATCAGATCCTATTTTTCAAAGGTAAAGTATGAGATTCTCTTTATTTTTTTTTCTTCATTTAATTATATGGGAAGAAGGGATCCAAGCATAAAATTCACTTCTCAAAYAAATTAAATAAAAACTCAGAACATTTAATCTAGTTTTCCTAAAACCTACATTAAAGGAGTGCATTTTACCATTTACTGTCTGAAAAAGACTGATGAAACTAAATATTTTAATTTCTTTTAACAGGCAACAAATTCTGGGTTATCAGTGGATATCAGGTATTGGTTGGTTATCCAAAGAATATCAACACATTGGGCTTCCCTAAAAGTGTCAAGAAAGTTGATGCAGCTGTTTGCAATAAAAATACAAGGAAGACAGACTTTTTCATAGGTGACAAGTACTGGAGGTAAGAAGAATTGACAAATGTTTTCTTATGAATGACCCCAATATAATCTGAATAAAAATTGAAATGCACACATGACAAAAGAGCAAGTAGACCCTTTAGGTAACTGTATGTAACTGGGTAATTATAATAATCCTACTCTTCATACTCCTGAATGAGGAGAAGAGTCCAGGCATGTCTTTTGAAAGCTTAAGGGTGTCCTGAAGTGAGCATTCAAAATATGGATATGCTTTGATACATTATACCTGGAAGCTGAAGAAAATCCAACATCTAGAGAACTTTTGAAAATACAGAAGTGTCCCAAAAAAATAAAGATCAAAGCTAACCTACATCAGCAGAAGTCTGGCTATGATGGCTTGTGCAGGACTTCTCTGGTTTCTGAAAACGCTTGGATAATTTTATCCCTTTTAGAAAAAGAAAAGTGAGAGTTCCTTTCCTGTCATTGACTGGTTAACCTTGGCTTTTAACATGTTCCCTCTAAATCCTATTCCCAAACCGGCATGAGAGAGTCCTGATATCCAAAGAGCAGGAAGGTGGAAGACAGAAGGCAGCTTTGGGAAGCTGAAAGATTCCTTCTGTGCAAGAACAATGGCTGCAAAGGTCTTCCTCAGGCAACCAGGGCAAGCGTGGGYCACACAGACTTTGTCGTGACTAATTGTGGGGTTCCTCACTGAGACACACAGTGTCAGCTGGATTTTGAGATTCGTGTGGTTTCCTGTTTTTGAGTTTTGATTATTCTGGGAGGAGTGTTTACAATATCTTGCATTGCTATTTTACTGCCTTGGTCACAAGACAATAGCATGCAAGAAAACCACAACACGGATTTCTACCCAGTAACGCCTTCTGTCAGCCTCGTGTCCCTGTGAAAAATATTTCTTGTATCCAAGGAGAAGTAAAACAAAAGCTTGTTTGTTTGCTTGTTTTTTGTCTTTTTTTTTTTTTTTTCCTCAGGGCATTCCTCAAATCTGGAAGAACCTTTTAGGTTCTCCTTTCAGTCCACTTAATTTAGCCCTATCTCATAAAAATTATCCTGGCTCAGTTAGGAACAACTTGATTGTATTAGAAATMATTCAACTTCCTTTCTTCCCTCTCAGTCCATTAGCTAGTAGAGAACTATGTACAATATCTCAGCAAAGTCTGAGAGGAAGAATCAAAATTTATGCCATAAATATGTGCAKTCACTATAGCAGGAATGAATCTRCCCARTTTCCATGCACTGTCTGTCACACTKTTATCATTAGAGGAGGTAAATCCCATCCCTGCAGTCAAAAATATGAGTCTTCCTTCAATTTTTCTCACTTAGGATACTTTTATGGAGCTGTGCCTGCTTTTATCAGCAAATAAGTAGGACCTTCATGGAAAACACAATGGCCAGCATCCTGCAGATATTTGTGCAAGTAAATAATAACAACATTCTGTTGCTACCCCAGTGAAATCAGCCAAACTGCAGATGGTGGGCACCCTTCAGCAACTGCTTAACTCTGCACAGAATTGAAGCCTAAACTCTGAAACACTGCATGTCTCCCTTCATATGATTTAGGTTTGATGAAAACAGCCAGTCCATGGAGAAGGGTTATCCTAGACTGACAGTCAATGAATTTCCAGGAATAAGCCACAAGGTTGATGCTGTTTTTCAGCAGAAAGGTAAATGAAATGAGCTTTTAAGCAAAATCTGTTTTGTTCTAAAGATCATAAATTCTGAATTGATGATGAATGTCATTAGTGCTGCATCCTGCAAAAGAGAGAAGTGAAGAGATGCTCTCCTGTGTCTACATAGGGAGAGTTCCCTGATGTGTCAGAATAAAGTTTTTCTTGGGTATGTAACATAATGCTTTACTTTTTTTCATTTCCAGGTTTATTCTACTTCTTCCATGAATCAAAACAGTGGGAGTTTGACCCTATTGCTAAAAAAGTTACCAAAGAAATGGAGAGYAACAGCTGGTTTAACTGTTAATATCATTAAATTTCCTTACATGTAGCAGAAGACAACAAATACCATTCTGGAGATCTCAGAAACTGTTTGTATGTACACTGCTATACAGAAGAGGCAACAAAACTAGTTTGCATAAATGCTTTTCGTGTTTTAATAAATTAACATGTCGACTCAATTTTTATCTCCAAAGACTAGAATAAAACAGCATTTTTCCCCTTCGTGGAAAATGTACAAAATAATTTATTACTTTATACTCCAGATGGTTTGAGGGTTTTTTTATATTATGGCAATAAACAGTTTTAAGTTGATGGCACCTGTTTTCTGCTTCATCTACTGAAGTAATTCTGCATTTCTGAGGTGTGAAAGACTGCAGGTTAATATACTAATATCCATCAACCATACAATGTTTGTTAYTTTGCCTCTTTTCTCTCCAACAGGCAAGCTTCTTTTCTCTCCATCTGCAAGATCTATAGAGGCTTTTCGTTAGTCACTTGCTTGTGACRTGCTTGTGAATGCTTCTGCATCTGCAGAAAACAAATTTTCCTGCATCTTGTCCTGCTCTTCTTTGTCTGTTGCAGCCTTGTCCCTTTCACATCCCAACAGTATTTTGCCACCAAAATCACTCTCAAGTCCCAATGTCTAAATACATTATCTCACCTGATTATCGCTCAATCAGTCTTTATAGCATAACAATAAGCATTTCATCAGAGGCCACTTTTACTGGATGACATCCTCCACAAAACAGCCCTGTGCTATTCAAGAAATAGGTTCAACCAGTATGTCATGGAGCATAACCTTTGCTCTGCTCATAAAAATTATGTGCTTTAAGTTCATACACATTTCACGTTTATTGCATGTTGCCATGCAAACTCCTCACAAAATCAGACAAAATCTACAGAGACACAGTCATATCCTCTCCAGGTATTTCTTTTACATTTAGTTCTGGAAACAGGCCCAGAACACACTGCTGAATTGTTGGCCATACTGCCGACATGCCTGGGTTTATCTGAGAACCTGGTCTCAATACTCCTGGTTTGTCCTCCTGTTCCCTGATTCTCATCTATTTGSCTGCTTTACACMCCTCTTGCAYRCTTGAGTAAAACATTTCCTTTTGCYRTGTGCTTTTACARCAATGCAATGACCCCAGGCTGAACCTTGCCCTCCTGATTTGCTGTGAACAGCAGCAGTAGCACTGTGCTGCTGCTATTGCTATGGAGAACCCAACTGGCTTTGTTCTCAACAGCAAATCATAAAAGGTTCAAATATGTTGTTTCACTGATCTACAACCCTAACCATGGTGAACACCATCACAATCCAGATCCCTAACAAAATTKAAGCTTAAATTTTGGTGGCAACGTAGACATTTGAGGGAGATTCATCTGACTACTTAGCTTTTTGTCTAGCTGCATGAGTTAGGGAAGATCCCTGCACTGAAGAAGTTTTCCACAACATTATTCATCTCATCTCATCTCATCTCATCTCATCTCATCTCATCTCATCTCATCTCATCTCATCTCATCTCATCTCATCATCTCATCTCACTCGAAGACTAAGGTGGGGCAAGCCGGTGTCTTCAGCCTCCACAGAAAATATCTCTTTGCAAGGGAAGGCTGTTCAACTAAAAGCTTAGTTAACTTTCAGACAGATRAGTTTGGGTGGAATTTATAGTGTCTTTGACGGGTACCCTTCAGGTCTTATTCAGAATAGGGTGTCTTACTTTTCTCTTCTAGGATGCTCACTTTTTGACAAGTTGCAASAGCAGCTTTTTATGTCACCACAAGCCAGTGACAGAGTTGTCTGAAGGCACCTGCTTGCCCTGCCACTGTGGAATGAATATGATATTCTACAAGAGCACAACATGCTGGAGGGAGGTGGGAYGRAGGCCRTTCCTTCCCTATTTCTGTATTTTCAGGCTCCTTGCACTGTTCCTCAGCATTCAATTTAATTGAAGACTGTGTGGTAGAAAGTGCAGTTCAACAGCTCAGTCACAGAAGCTGCCAAGTTACACCCAAGTGTTTACACTCGGGGCAAGATTACTCTTTTACACWCAATCTGCTCAGTGTGTAATATGAYTGTAATTTTAACYTCAAGAAATGGTTAATCAYTGAGTCACCAWGGAGGTTATTCAGTTCTTGGCAACACATAGGCAAGTTCCTCTGTCTTCARACACACAAACAAACATCACAGACAYATCACTGTGCTCYTTCTTTTCTCAGGTGAAGCATTGTTTCATCGTTTATATAAATCTTTGGTCTTAAGGGAAGTTAATCTTTATCAGTGAAGTGCAGTTAATGCAGTTTTCTGACTGGCAGTTCTGGCATTCTGTTATACCGGTGTGGGGTTCRTGTTCACAGGCCACCTGTGAAAATAAATAAAGCAATCAGTATTGTTTTCCCTTTATTGACAAAGAAGGCCTGAAAAGCCATTSCCAACACAGAAAGACTTGACTTTGATTAGTGGTAACAGCTTGGTCACTCAGTTTCCCCTCTTTGAGGGTCTAGGGGTCCCTCCCTCATTTCATTGGAGGAACTGGAACCAGAACAGGAGTGTCAGAACAGAAAACCAGTAAGTGAAGAATGCTTACTGGTGGTTATATCCTTCCATGTCTGTCAGGAGCCTGGAAAGCATAGGACTATGTCTTGCACCTCACCACATCCTCATACAGCCCTAAAGATCTCCCAATACCTCTTTTATGCTTCCCATAGCTCCCCATAATGTCCCCAAACCACGTTTAGGCATCTAGCTGAGTAATGCTGTGTAGTTGCCCATGGGGTGACTATCCGCTGACCCCACAGCCCAATCCAGGCATGAATTATCTGTCTTCCCATTAATAGGGTTTCTTCTCCTCTAGCCAACTTCTGTTTTCCACAAAACCTGTAGGAACTACAAAATTTCAGTTTGGCTTGGAAAAAATGGCCAGTTCCTCCAGCTGCTGTGGGACCAGATGGACACACAGACACACAGAAAATAGGATCCCATGTGGTCAAACTAAAACACTTTTCTCAGTGTTCCACTGCACATTTCCATTCAGTTTTGTAACATHGTATTCCTCCTTCTGTTGACGAGAGGAGTTGACAAGACATGACAAGGCAGAAAATATATATCAAACCAAGGAGAGAGCTAGTCCACACTTGTCTTCCCAGTTGCTTCGTAACCCTAATAAAATTGTCATTTGCTTTTTGTCCAATTAATGATTTTTAACAGTTGTTTTCCAAATGAATCRTAAGATCATAAGACAATGAGACTGAAATGAAATCCAATGTAATGTGTTACTGAGGCACACAAACTACAGCATTCCTGGTAGATTGTCCTCAAAACAATCACTTTGCCTAGAGGAGCTCAGTCTCCCGACACTGGCATGGGAGTGTTTCAGCTAACAGAGTGGGGAAGGAGTGGAGTATAATCAAATACTTTCTAGAGCAGAGATTAAAAACCACTTCCTACCCTTACACTTCCAGGTGAGCAATTCTGCCCTCCGCTCTTGGGTGGCACACAGATACCCCAAGAGCCTTGAGAAAACTGATACTGAATTTTTTTAAGGGTTTGGTACCTTAAATGAAGAAAAAAGAGAAGCATGGGAGCTAGTGTACAAAGAAAGAAGCTGTTATTACCTGGATATACATAACCACTCTTCCCTGCACTTACTCATAACTTCATGCCCCTTGCTGTTTCGCTGCCCGATTCCTGATAACAGGAAAAGAAGGTGCAGGGCTGTGTTTATGTTCTGACAGCCAGCAGGCTCTTTGTGCAGCTTGTGAAGTGTGAACCTTTCTGAACCTTTGTGAACCTTTCCTTCAGAGCTGCCAGAGCCATAGCCAAAGCAGAGATGAAACCCAGCACAGGCATTGCAGGTGCCGAGACAGGACATCAACAAAAACAGAGTAAGGCCAAGACAGGGAGAACACTTCCCTGGGGTGGACAAGCACAGGCCTTGAAGAGAGTCTTGCAGAATGAGCATTTTTCATGCCAGCCATCTCAGCACCCTTACTGAGTGTACCCTGTATGTGTACTTGCAGACAGCCCCTCAGGGTTAGAGATGTGGGCYCTGTGGTACTGGCTGTGAATCGGACTTTTCCATGTTCTCTCTGCACTCATTGATTAAATCATCTTGTGACAAGGACTGTCTGTTGGATCTTTTCATCATGCATCCAGGGCTTCATGTGTTTTTTACGATCTGGTAATACTGTACCTTGCTACCTTTAAGTGATGGMATGGACACAGATGCATGAGAGTGTTTGGTGCTCCTTAAAGGGCCTGCCCACGGGTGGGTCTGTGCAGGCTCTGCGGGCTCTGCGACCTGCAGGTGCTAAAGGAGCAGGGAGTGCTTGGAAATGCCTTCCCTGTGTGACAGGAACAAATGCTGCTGCTGGAACCAAGGGCCCTGCAGCCTCCACTAAAATGAGCAACACAAGGTTTCAAACTAACAGATAAAAATCCAACACAGGCTCCTAAAGMTTAGGTCTGTAACCTGAGGGGTTACAGATGGTACCCAGTGCTCACAGCTGCCATCCCGCGGTCACAGCTGGCACCCCACGGCCACAGAAGCCACCCAGCGGCTGCAGCTGGCACGGAAGGTCACAGCTGTCACCACGCACAGATGTCACCCAGGGATAACATCCGCCACCCCGCGGTCACCGCTGCCACCTAGCGCCCACATCTGGCACCCGCGCTCACATCTGGCACCCCTCGTTCACATCTGGCACCCCTCATTCACATCTGGCACCCCTCGTTCACATCTGGCACCCCTCGTTCACATCTGGCACCCTGCGCTCACATCTGGCACCCCTCGTTCACATCTGGCGCCCCTCGTTCACATCTGGCGCCCCTCGTTCACATCTGGCACCCTGCGCTCACATCTGGCGCCCCGCACTCACATCTGGCACCCCTAGTTCACATCTAGCACCCCTCGTTCACATCTGGCACCCCGCGCTCACATCTAGCACCCCTCGTTCACATCTGGCACCCTGCGCTCACATCTAGCACCCCTCGTTCACATCTGGTACCCCGCGCTCACAGCCGCCCCAGCATCTGCTCCAGGCTGGCTCCCCACGGCTCAGCTCCTCAGATGCTTCGTTTCAGTCGTGCTCACGATTTGATCAATAAGAGTTTGTGCAAAGGTGCTGTATGGAGGGAAAAGTCCGCGAGGAGAAGCACTTTGATTTGAAAATGAAAAACACTTTGTTGAAACTATGAATAGCATAATTTAAATTAAATAAACTGAGCTGTTTACCAGATGGATGGTAATTCAAAATCACCAACGAGAAAACATGGAGAAAAGCACTGAGAGAGTACTAGAAACCATGT